AAGCAGTTTCATTGCCTGTCTGACATCTTATCACCGCTGAACAATAAATAGGTGTGAATATTTTTAGGCATGTTGTCGAAACAAAGAATAGGATTAGGAACAATGCCGTTTTGGAACAGCTGGTTGAAACAATGAAGTCAGTCACGGTCTTGTTGAATTGGGGGTGCGGTTAGTAATAGGTACTTTTCAAGTTTTCAATTTTTGTTAAGAACTCTTTAACCCCGAAGCCGGAATTGGGGGTGCGGTTACTATTACGTATGCGGTTTATATTAGGACTTTAACGGTATCCCCTTTGGTAAGGCAGTAAAAACCATTACCTTGTTCTCGTTGGAATGCTGGAGACGATGGAGTCGTTCTCTTCAACGCTTCTCGTCTTTCTTGTAATTGTCTTCCGGGGATTAATCCGGCACGTTGGTTTTTATCTCCTTCTTTCCGGGCTTGCCACCAAGTAGGATCATCTTGATTTACGATATGTAATATATCCCCTTTATTAAATCCTAATCCAGCTTCCTTGCAAGGGATTAATTTATCGTCTTTGGGATCATAATCAAAGTGTGCTCGTACCCTAACCTGGAATTAAACCAATGTAATGAATAAGTTTAAATTTTAGTATAAATAAATGCTAGAACTTGTGAAGCAGCTAGCAGCCAGAAAAATAAAACAAACCATTTAATAATTACAAAACTCACTTCTACAATAATTATAGAGAACACAGACTGGAATGATTTGTAATATTTGTTCAGAGAATGATGCATGGGTTCTTGCAAACAAGCAACAGTAAGTCATAATTTTACCCAGCAAAATTTTGATGCAACTTTTCGTCCGTTTTTATGTATTTTTCTATAATTTTGTGATAATTTTGGTCCAAATGGATATCATTATCTGCAAGCTGCAAGTCTTATTCCAAAATTTGGAAAAAATCTGCCAACATTTATTTTATGTTGGAAATTGGTGACAAAAATTGACTTTGGCGATCAAGGTTAATTACCGGTATAACTTGGACAACGATTACCAAATATTTATCATAATGATTTGTTTACACTTTTTGTTAAATCTTACCGTAGCATGAGTTAGAATCGGATGTAACATATTGTATGAGACCCATTCCACATATGGCAACACTTTACGGATGAATAAAAGAGAGAAACAGCATTCACTCACCTGGCTTTCCCGGTATATTCTATTTTCAAACTCTAATTCTGCCGGTACTAATTTAAAAGTTATGGTGCCATTGATACCAGCCTGAAAATACAAAAACAATTTCTCAAGACATGGATTCACATATGACAAGCCCAATATCATAGTCATGTGACTTAAACAAGCTTTGGGGGAGGTGGAATAATTTTTCATTTCATAATTTTTCATATCTTACTTTAATAATCAACCCATTTTTAGAGGCCATCGGTACTTTGAAAAGCCAATAACAGGCCAGCTACTTGAACGATATCTGAGCTACTCACTACTCAATCTATTTAACAACTTCTTTTGGGAACCAAATACTCAACAGGAGAACTGCAAATTGTTCTCCACCTTCTGTAAATTGCTGTTGTATATTTGAATTGATCAATTCTCATGGGGGAGCTACGTCACACAACGTTCTACATTGCTAAGACCACTGTACCATGTATTTCAATGGAGTCTGAGTGAACTGCCGATCCAAGAGCTGGTGAAAACAGCTAAAGTCAAGAAAACGACACAAACTCAACCCAGAAGTAATTGTGAGCAACCAAATTTATTTATGTTGCACATGTAGAGGTAATCTTGTTACAATGTTCAACTATCCCAAAGTACCGTTTTCAGAGAGTGTTCAGCCTTTGTTTCACTGATGGTTGCCAAGCAGTGAAAATGCTTGGATGTCCACCCCGAGAATATGTAGTAAACTAGGGGGACACATGACTATTTATTGTGAAAAATGTTGCTACTGGTTTTAAAATTCATAGTACGTTAGTTTGTTCAGCTTGCTGAATCTGCTCAACATGTTTATAAAAATCATGCTTACCAGTATACTCACGACATCATCTGGTTCTTTTCCTTTAACTGGAATACCGTTAACTTCATGCACCTCGTCACCAACGTGTATCACACCGCTCCTATCGGCAGCACCGCCATGCATAATACGAGCTATTACTATCATACCACTGTCTTCATCACACTTAATTGTTGCACCCTGGGAAATAATATAAGGGGACATTCGGGTTATCAGACCGGTCACCATTTTGAGATCCTATTTATCCCATGTATTCGTTTCATAGCTTTTTGTTATCATAAATACAGAATTGTAACCTTTGTGAGTATGTCAAAGAATTTTTTGATATTCAAATGCATATTTTGCATATTCAAATGCTGTTTTTGAATAAAGTTTACTAACAATTCACAGTCCCCCCGTGCAACAAATTTGCTGCCTTTCAGTGATATCAAAATGTTTATGATTTTAGGCACACAATGGTATCATCTTAATAATTTTGGAAGCAATTCTGTCAGCGGATTATAGTGCATATTGTGATGATTCGGCGATCTCATTGGATATCAGAGTGGGATACAAAAAATATTGGATAAATGACATGAAACAATGTAAGTGACGTTTAAAAGTGCATTTGGGACAACTTACCAGTGGTTCATTGCTTTTCACAAGTCTAACTATTTTAACAGACGGTTCTCCTTCATCTATATCTAGCGGTAATTCAGGTAATCTTGGCATAAAATCTTTACTGGCAATCTTGTCATGACATTCTAATAATGCCTAGAAAAATTAAAAAAATATCAAAACTATACATTCGTACACATAAAAATCAAACTTGTGATTTCATGAGTTATTCTAATGAATAGTTTGATGAACATTTATTAAAAATTGTCATGCTATGACAAACACAAGAAACAATGAAATGACAAGTTGCTTTCACCATCATAATCTTTTCTCTTTTTTTTTAATCCAGGAAAAGTAACAAATGAAAATGAAACTACAAATTGTTGATAATTGTATTTTACTGTGCATACAGATACATTTAAAGTTGAGGACATTACTGCAATGTTATTGGCTTCTGCATTTATGTGAAAGTCAATCTGATTTTATTTCGCTTATCTCCTATGTGCATTGTGGTATTCCCATGATGCACCTCACTTGTGAACAATAGTAAGATTAGCTCCCTGGTGAGGATGACAAAGAAGGATGACAAAGAATGTTCACAATACAGTCAAACAGATGTCAAAAATGTAAAAAAAATCCAAATATTCAATATAAAATATTGTAACATACTTGGAAATGTGGAAATGCTAGTATTTGATATAATTCCTTGGCATCTGAATTCATAGGTTTACTCCGTAAATCATCACCAACCTGCAAAAAAGAAAACAGAAATCTTTGATCCTTTCCATAAGTCTGGCGCCCTCACAGATTCCTAGAGGAGAGTCCTGTCAGGTGAATTCAGAAAGAAGCTACCGGGGGGAAGTCGTGTTTTTGCTGCAAGCACAGGCTTAGGAAACTGCTTTTTCAAATCTAAGAAACTTTATATTTTTGAAAGGCATCTCCCACAGGAAATTGGGGGGGAAAGACTGATGAAGAGGGTCTGCTTGTTGCATTTTATCAATACTTGTTAGAATTGCTGAGATATCATTGAAAGAAACTGTTCCGAATACCATGGTTACGGGTATATAGAGTGACAATGAACGCAATGACGATAGATAATGTGAAACTCGTTGGACGGCTAAAACATGTCATGTGGCTCTCTCGCTCAGCAAAGTCTTGGCGGCCATTAGCGAATAAGGTCTATTAACGACAGTACTTACATCATACGCTATCTGGGATGCATTGGATGCCACAGGACATGGTTCTATACATTCATTTGTCGACACTTTACCATGGATCTACAAAAAACATTTAGAAATAAATTAAGAAAAAAAATGTTAATTTCACTGAAAATAGTAAAAATAAATTACAAGCGAAAATAAAGTATTTAAAGTATCATGATTTATCATGCATTGTTCAAAACTTTCCCTGTATGTGTTGCCTCACCAATCACCTGATGTACAACGGTCTTTCAAATACAATAAAAAGAATTTTTGCTAACATATCATGACCAAAAACAAATTATAATTTTTGGAAATATTTAAACCATGGTGGAAATAATTTTCTACGTGGTGTAAATATTTAAACCACAGAGAAAATGAAATTTAAATATTTAAACCGAGGTGTAAATTAAAGTGAAATTGTCGGAAATTTGAAATGAAGCCGAAAAATACAGGTGAAAATGTGAGAAATTCGAAAAACAGAAGAATGGCCTTAACAAGCCACCGTAACAAAGTATTATAGGTATTTTTACCTTGAGTAGTGCTTGTAATTCTGAACTTTGCAGCAAATTATTTAGAAAAATCAAATCTTCTTGTCTTACATCTATTTTATTTGGAATTTGATCCAATGCTAATATCAGCCGTTGAAGACCTGTGAAAAAACAAGCATAATATAGGATTTATGAAATGAGAATAGAATTGTCACAATTGTCGATATTATAATTAAGAATAAGGATTATAAGACGATACGATGGAGATTATATAATTCTGAGGAATCCAGGCATCTATCAAACGACTGTAATTTAACGAATGTCATTGCATAGTGATACTAGGACAGGTTTCACTGGGTAAACAGAAATGAGCGACATTATAATCGTAGTTAGAAAAAAAACACACGTAATATATGCTTTGCGTACAAGGACGAGCAATTTCAATAAAACACTAGTTCCTTCACAGACAGAATTCAAGATTCTTGAAATGTCCTGCGATTTTGTAATCATCACACAATTTATGCATCTCTTCTTTAACTTCCGTGAGAACATTTTTGCGATTACACTGCTTGCTCATGGATTTTGATATTGCAATCGTCAAATGAATAGGATATTTTGCTGATTTAATATCAGAACTGAAAATATCGCATGACTATGTTTTGTATGATACACCTAATAAACATGGATAAATTAATGTGTCTGACTTCCTCAATGGGCATTCCCAACTTTCTGATTATTACAACATGCCATAGAGGGCACTATACTCACTTGGATCATGTCTAGTTGGTGTAGGCGATGATGGAGTGGGACTGGCGACTAGAGCTGGCATACTGGATGGTGATGACTGGTGGTGTATGACTATATTACTATTTGGGTTGCAGGGTGCTAACGGTGGTTCAGTTCTTGAATACTCCAGATTGGCTGGCTGCTCGTTACGTTACGTTACGTTACGTTACACACAAACATACACATTATTATTCCTTACAGTTATCTGAAAAATAAAAAAAATAAAAAAAATAAAATAAATAAAATAAATAATTTAATTCTGTGCCATGTAGACTGGTACATGTATACTATAGTCTATGTTCTGGCACCAGACTGCATGGTATATCGATACAGATTAATCCCATGTTTATTCACAGATGATTCCACTTTTATGGCATATATTTAAGCACCAATCAGCAAGCTGTTCGTAAGGGGTGCCGAGATTGATATACTGTAAAATGCTTTATTTTAGCTGGAATTAATTTTCGCCAAATAGACTTTTCGGGTGTTTTGTATGGAATTTATTTTCACTGATTCTTAACAAGTTGAATGTAAAATATAGGAAAAAAAGTTTATTCGCTGGATTTTATTTTCACTGAATCATTCCTTCAGCGAAAATAGCGAAAATAAAGTATTTTACAATAATGTATTGTTGTGCAAATGTCAATGGTACAGATGGCAACACTGAATCCAGAATAGATCTATAGAATCAAAATACATTATCCATAGTGATACAGCTCCAAATACATGGAGGCGGTTGCCCAGATACCACCACAATCAATCAATGCCATTCAAAATAATCAAATATTTCCTCCAAAATTGTTTGGAGTCTCTAAGGTATTTTTAGAATTTTTCTTCACCTTGAAATTTTATGCTTTCAAGTCCATGCTCTCTCTCACAACTTTATTTCTCTATTAGAAGCACTTATGTCAGTGACAATGATGCATCTAGGTTCATGGTACTGTACATGATTTATTAGTAGCACTTGTGACAGTAAATGACAGATGTCAAAATAAGTCATAATATAATGATCCAGTATAACAAATTCAATTGTTGGTTTGGGTGCACTTCTAATAGAGCAAATATGGTACAGTGATATATGATATATTGAAGATAATATTTGGTAATCGTAGTCCTAAATAACTATTAAAAATAGCTAGACGTTTCGAGCAATGGCTCTTTATCGATAGCATAGAAGCAAGTGTGATAAACGTACAGGTAGAACATAGGAACGTAAGAACGCGCATGAACTATAAGTTAGAATCACAAAAAATTCCACAATAGAACAAATAACGCGCCTTAGGTAGTGAGCTCAACAAATGAGTTGAACTGTTTGTTAATACCATGGGGTTCTTTAGTTCCAAGGCGGAATATAGTTTCCTCCTCGACACGCCTGAGCTGATTTTCGTTGCCATTGACAACACATACACCAGAAATAGACATATCTGTAATATTATGTCCACTAGAATTAAAATGAAGTGAAACCGGATAATAACGATTTTTCTGTCTAGTTTGCCGTAGATGCTCAGCAAACCGATCACCCAGTCGACGAACTGTAGAACCAATATAAAGTTTCCCGCATCTAATACATGAAATGCAATATACAACATTCATAGTGATACAACTGAACGGATATTTGACCTCACATCTC